TATATAATGCGCATGCTCAAAGTCAGTAGGTTGAATAATTTCATGCCTACTTCCGGTACGTTGCCCTCAAAGCATAGATATCATATAATCACTAGATACAGCATTGACCGCTATCGACTATTGGCGCTGACGAGCTGTAGGGCCGCCATCTTGGAACGGTCGACCGCTCCACTCAGTGTAACCTGTTTGACGGGAGCAATGAAGTATTTGCGCGTTTAATCAGTCATAGCTAAATACTAAACTCATTCTCACGATTTTTTCCTCTGTAAATCTCAGGAGTACAGCCATTAAAGCTGAACACATGGTTCAGTGTATTTAAATATTCTTGGTGGGGTTAACATTAACACTAATAAAATATTCTTATGACATCCAAAAAAGTTCAATCTGGTCCTCTGGACATTCAAAAAAACAAAAACAAAACAAAGCAAAAAAATGTAGAAACGTTTCGTCTCTCATCCGAGAGACTTCCTCAGTCTGAGGTGCTGTTTTCAGCTCAGTCTCTTAAATAGCACCTTCTCAGAGTGGATCAACCAGTTTTGCTGCTGACAACCAAAACCAGCTGATCACATGCTCAAGAAGGACCATCAGCCTAACAATGGATCATTAGCACACTGATGGCTGTTTACTACTCATAGAGGGCTGAGTGATACTAGCAATCACAGCATTGTAAGAGGGGGACAGTTGAACACGGAGGCCTCCACCCCTGTTTAACGATGGACGATTTCTTTTCACAAAGATGGCCTCCTTTACTCCTCTCTCAAACCATCGTTCCTCTCTGTCCAGGATGTGAACATCTTCATCCCTGAAAGAGTGATCGCTGGCCTGGAGATGAGTGTAGACCACAGAGTCCTGGCCTGATGATGTTGATCTTCTGTGCTGGGCCATCCTTTCGGCCAGTGGCTGTTTTGTTTCCCCGATGTAAGACTGATCACAGCCCTCTTGACACTGAACAGCATACACAATATTACTCTGTTTGTGCCGGGGGACTGGATCTTTGGGATGAACCAGTCTTTGTCGTAATGTATTTTGGGGTTTAAAAGCCACTGGGACGTTATGTTTAGAAAATAAACGTCTCAGTTTCTCTGATACTCCCTCAACATATGGAATGACCACTGGTCTGGGTCTGGGTTCCTCCTTTTCACCTGTTGGCTGACTGGAGTCCTGTTTGGGTTTCTTCTCTACTTTCAGGAAGGCCCAGTTAGGATATTGTAGATGAACAGATGCTGCGAAATATTCATCAATTAAAACGGATTCCTCATTTTTCTGGACTGAATAAAACGTGCATTGAATTTAATGAAATGTAAACGTGAGACGTCATTTATCTTTGACCCATCAAAATGAATGCGGTCATTTATTTTACAGAATCAAAGTTTAACATCAAACATTTACATTAATTTGGCAAAATATGAAAATAACAACATAATTAACAGCTTTACAGGTGGTGAGAAACAATGCGGCGATTGTTTCCACTCTTCAGCAGAACAGCAGACATCAATGAAAACTGTACAATTATGATCAATTATCCACACGGCGGTGGATGAGCACTTTACACAGACATTTCTAAATTATCTGGAAGGATTTCTACTTGAGAGAAGAATTTAAAGATGGAAATGAAGTTTAAAGGGAGTAAAAGATGGTGTATGAGGGGAAGTGTTGACCAGAACCGACACTCTCCATCCGAACCCAGCTTTCCTCGGTACGCTTGGTAGGGAACTTGACTCATTACCTTTCTGAAGATTAATCAGCAGATATGGAGGTCCAGTTAACGCTACCTGTCCAGCGTCTCCATAGGATGGCTGTGACTCGTCTGAAGTAGTGACGAGATTCCGTCCGACACCAGCTCACCTCAGCAAGTGGACTTCACATGAGTGGGGTCCTTCAGAAGTTCCACTCAGAGGTGGAAGATGTTATAATCCAACTCGGAGGAGCCTTATCATGCTGGACTTCTGTTCTCCCAAACGACTTCACAGAACTGCGAACGTCTTAGGACTTCTCAGCGCCTCACCGAACTCCTCAGAAGCTTCACCGAACTGAGAGAACTAGGAAGTACCGGCATTTTAAAGAGCTCTATTTCCGGTATATTTGAGCGTCCCTGATTGGGTAATATCAACCAGACAGGGGTGTGTTTTGTGATGTAAGAGGTTACTAGAAGTCAGAAAACAGCAAGAATTGTTATGGAACAGATTAAACTGTTCTCAGAGACAGAGAGAGTTTTGTTTTGGCGAGTTTTAGAAACAGGTGCCAACTCCTCCGTTGACGTCTGAGAGGATGTAAACAAGACAGTTGTTCCAACACATGTCTGCTTCGACTCCTGACCTTGGAAAACGCACACTTGCTCATTCAAAGACAGAAATCAGAAAATGCATAAAAATCTGTAACAGACCTTAACATGAATTCTAACTCTGCATAAGCATTAAAAAATCATTACACTGTTTCACAGTTAATAAAATTGATTAGTTCACTGCAACATCTAAACTGTTTTGAACTAAGACACTTTGATTATCAACATTTGTAAAATAGTAATGATAATAAAAAGAGAGTGTTCTTTCACTTGATTTTCAAGAAGGAAAGTCTCAGGATGGGTGAACCTGTATTTCTGGATTCAGATCAATGAAATGACAGTTTCTGTCGAACAAGGTTCTTAAGGTCAAGGGTTTTGACCTTAGGCTTAGTTTTGACATCAGGTTAAGTTCACTACAATATCCACATTGCACTAGAGCCTGTCTTGTGTGGGATTTATCCTTCTGCCTGGCTCCTGAGCTAGTGGGGATGCTGTCTGCTCTGTGATACAGAGTCCTGATGACTCCTAACTTGTGCTCCAAAGGGTGATGGGAGTCAAACTGCAAATACTGGTCTGTCTGAGAAGATGCTATTTAAGAGACTGAGCTGAAAACAGCACCTCAGACTGAGGAAGTCTCTTGGATGAGAGACGAAACGTTTCTAGATTTTTTTGCTTTGTTTTGTTCTTTGTTTTTTTGAATGTCCAGAGGACCAGATTGAACTTTTTTGGATTTTTCTACCTGGAATATTGAGCATGCATCAGGATATTCTTATGACACATTTGCAAAACTCACAGTCACTGATACATTTTTATTAAGATATATCACTAAGGTATAATCACGTTAAACAAACAGTGTTAACAGTTTAAACGCAGACACAGAAACTAAGATGATTCTGCCTTAAAAACAATCACCAGGCCTCCAACAGATATTGAATTAACATACCCATGAGGTAGATAATAATTAATAATTACGTATAAACAATTTTGACACGAATCATTTTTGTATCCCTAAAGTAGAATAGCAAGTTAAACGTTAAA